AAAGTAGTCTCCTAAAAGCATAGAAAACTTCTTTAAAAACTTTAAAACTTCCAGATTGCATGCTCTTATTTCAATCCTTCAAATCCAGTACAACGCACTTTAAAAGTCCCAGAAAACAATGAAAGTCCAACCAAGAGAAGAAATATTTCTGAAGTGGAGATAGCCTCTTTAAATTCTTTAAATAATTTACAACAAAAGTGATTTTAGAGGTGGGATGGTCGGAAGTAGTGTCTCTTTAAGAGGCTTTAAACGCAGCGCCGACAAGCTGATCCACCTGCTTCCCAGCTGATTGCTCACCGTTCATTCGCAACCCACGTTCGATTGATAAGCTATAGCTGTCTGGAAGACATGTGATGTGATTCGATAGCTTCCCCTTGCCGGTAGAATGCTTCATGTCTTGGAAAAAATTCCTGATACCAAATTAACCACGTTTAACACTCCAGCTTCAGAGGAGCTTCAGCCAGAGGGACCTTCCCACATATTGTCCTCCACCGGAAGTCCACCCAAACCTTTTCTCTAATAAATATAGAGCCTTAATTTGTTAATTGGTGGCCAGGGAATCCTATGCTTGCTGCCAAGCACTAAATTCTATCCTTACAGAAAAGCTTGGACTCCATTATATTCAAGAACACTAATGGAAGACTTAAACTAGGGGCAAGTAAGCCTGATGCAAAATGACTCTTTTACATTCTTAAAAATGACTGAGAACTCCAAAGAGCTTTAGTTTATGTGAGTTATATCTATCAATATTTACTGTAAAGTATTAGAAATTAAAACTGAGAAATTTTAAAGTATTTCTTTGACTTTGCAGTCCCTCTGAAAGGGTCTTGGGGACTCCTAGGGGTCCCTAGACCACACACTGAGAACCACTGATTTAGTACTACTGTGAATCCAATAAGCATGTCTTCCTGTACCCATGGGCATATTTGATGGGTTTTTAAAAACAAATCATTAATCTTATTAAATATTATTTCCTGGCTTAAAGATTTATCCAGAAAAATGTGAACGTTAAACTGAAATGTTTTTCCACAAAAAGTGATTACACAAATACCTATGCCATTTTGTATTTCAGAGAAGGGAAAAAGTTGCCTATACTCCAATTATTTTAGTTAACTACAAGAGTTAATCAAATGTAATCAGTCCAAATTAAATCAGCGAAACTTGTGTCAAACATAGGAGTGACCCAAGCTTATTGAAATGAAATTTTGAAACAAAACAAAACCCACAGTTATGCTTGGAAACAGCGTGCCTAGAACTTGAAGCAAAGGAAAAAAATGCCAACTTATAAACTTTTCCAAGGGAAGGTTTATAATGGAAATGGCAACAGACTCTTAACTACAGTGGTGCCTTTTTATGCCAACATATAAATAATTTTAGTTTTTATAGTCACATCATAAATTAGATGTAGTGTTAGTAGAAACAGTAGAGTTCTGATTCAGTAAATAGATAGACCAGAAGCACATGTTTGCATTTTCAAAAGACAAGCGCGGACTTGATATGGCTCTGAAATGAAGTCTGCAAACAGGTTTAAGTTCTTCTTCTTTTTTTTTTTAAGTAGGCAAGTCATGAGTTTTTTAAGCTTATAAAAATAAGCAGCCTTTACAAGCTCTATTGCTTGTTTCAAATGTTCTAAGAATCATTTATGTAGGTTAGTAAAAATGGCTCCATTCAACCCATTAGTTTCCCATTGTGGAAAAAAATTGCACACAAATGTACATGCTCACAACCCCTCCGTATTCCAAAAAGTATGCTTTAGTTTTGACCTTAGCAACTGTTGCAAATGCCACTTGAGTAACGTGGCTTGTACAAAGAAACGTATGTGCTCCAAGGCCACTTTCTTCATTTTAAGTTTACACTTGTCACTGCAGGGTGAATAAATAATGTACTGCATTCCAGTTTCACCTCTCACAGAGATGTAATTGGAAGGCAACTTAATCCAGGCAGCAGCAAGGAATGCAAATATGCCTGCATATATCTGCTGCTTACTCAAAAGTAAATGATGGAAGATACTGATCATTTAACCTTAATTATATGGATAAGGTGCTTTTTAAAAAGTTGAAACAAAAGCCCTGATAAGTCTTTTTAAACCACACATATGTAGATTGAATGGACAACATGTATGTGGTCACTAAGAGTCAACAACAACTTGATGGGACATAACCAATGTAGATTGGATTTTACTGCACTTAACGTTATACAAAATGCCTGAGGGTGATGAAATCGGATTTAAATTAGTTCTAATTCAGAAAAAAAGGATTTTTAAAAAATATATTGTTGTTTCACTATTATACTTTATCAATGGGCCAGCAACTACTCATGCTGATTCTATCCCATCACAACCTATATTGATTTATATTTTTTGCTTCACTTTTGCTCTGGCTCTGATTTTAACCCAAATTCAGAAAGCCAGATTCTGGTAGCATCTTTTCTAATCCAGTTATAGCTTGCTCCTTCCTCCCCTCCCCTGCTTTCCCCCAGCTCCCTGTTTCATAAGCTTTTATCTAGAGGTTAAAAGGCATGTATATTTCCACTCTTTAAAGAGTTTTATTTTCAATGGTTAAAAATTACCATCTTTAAATTCTGGAATCTTTTCTAAACTAGTATACTTGTTTACTGTCAAACACAGGGATGCAAAACTTTTTCTGCTCCAGGAGTCTCCAAACCTCTGTATGGTGGAACCTATATTCCAATAAGTGGTATATTTTGCCATGGCAAAACCTAAATTTCATTTCATCTGAGTAAGCAAATGTTTTCTGGATGAATATAACCTTTCTGCTCTTGTCTATGTAGCTCTTTGGGTCCTGGATGTGAAAATTAAAAGGGTGGGTGGGGAGGAAGTTCCTATAAAATACTGATATTCTAGGCTCTCTCTTTTATGTACAACATTTAAGAAAACATTTCAAAACTTAATGAAGCTGACTCACATAATGGAGAATACAAAAACATCTGAACAAAACAAATGGATTTCATGTTCATTTGTACAAAGCTAAGATATGCAGGAAAATGTGGAAAGTGCAATTAATTTTATCTTAATTGAACCCATCTATTTATACATACAGTATTTTATAATATCCTATTTGGTGAACTTATAGACAGTCTCTGTAGAGTTCAAACCATTAAGGCCAACTTGCTATTCAGTCTACAGAATTAGGGACGCTTTATAATGGGGGGTGGGTGGGTGAAGAGCAATCTTTGTCTCCAGACCCACATGCTGCTCTATTTGTATGGCTCCTTGTCCCCAACTAACTTCAATTATCAAAAATCGTAACTATCTCACTTAGAACATGGCTGCCCTGAGAATTAGCATTATTTAATATAACAAATATATATAATACTAATCTCTTTAATATTTGCATCACATGGACAGCTATGCAAGCACAAGATAAGAAACTAAGTTTTATTTGGATCAAAAGTTACAGAGATTGTTCCAAGTTCTTTTGATAAAGTATGTACAGTTTCCCATTAACTAAATACTATGAAAAAGGGAGCTTTTAAAACAAATTTACTTCATATTGCCTTTCTCATTCATTTTTAAATTTTCTTCATTCAGCACATATATTCTGTTTTAAAGTTCACACATTTTAAGCATAACAACCCAGGACAACAAATTCTGTGCCATATGCCTCTCTCACACACACAAATTAAACAAACTTCCAGCAATAGATTTAGGCAGGTTTATGTGATATCTAATGAGAATTTTCCTTAGTTCTGAGGAGAAAAAAAAATATTCTGAGAACACTGGCAGAGCTCTCAATGCTTACATAAAAACTAAATTCTACTTGTATCTCAAACCAACTTTCACACATAAAGGTATATCTGAGGGAACTAACATCAATCAATCCTTCCCTTAATTTTGTCTCAACTTTGCACTTTATATTTGCTTTACTGGTATTTTCTTGCTATAGCAGTTGCCTCCTTTAGTAGACATTGAATGTTACATTGGGCAGGTGATACAGATTCACCTTGGGAACAGTTCACCCCCACCCCCAAATCTTCTTAGCCTTGTATACAGAGTCACTTGTTTGCAACAAAGTAGGCAGCATACAAATAATTGCAAATACAGTAAATAGATAAACATTTCAATGATAAGCCTGAATATTTGGTTTCTACTCATTTTCTCCCACAAACACTGAATTTCATACCTAAACCTGTATATGGATGCAGATATTTCAAAATGAGGTTCCCATTCACAACTAAAAATTCACAGCATTGTTGTATTCATAAAAAACTTACACTAAAGTCTGAACTGTTTTGTTTCACCAAACCCAAGTTTCAGAACTTCCACAAAAACGAATAACTGATTTTTTTTATTTGCCTTCAAATGGGATACTTAATAGGAATAAAAATTTAAAAGATGAAGAATGTTTAAAGCAATGCATTTTCTTTGATCTTATATCTGACCATTGGGTATGGGTGTGCAAATAAATTGATTAAATAAATAAAACCACCAAAACATTTAATTCTTATAAAATCAATGTACTTTTAGTATATTTAACCCTACACACTCCTTGTTAAAAAAAAATGAGAATATGTGATATAGGCCAGTGTTTCTCAACCTCAGCAATTGTATGGATACCAACAGTATGCTGGCTGGAGAATTCTGAGAGTTGAAGTCCATACACCTTAAGTTGCTGATGTTGAGAAACACTGGTATAGGCTGTTATTTACCCGAATCATAGTATATGCATACTTCCCCAGAACTTTGTAATGCTAAAAAAAAATGCATTTGGGCTATAATATACAACTTGCACGTTATGGCTTTTTATGTTTGCAAAATCTGTATTCAAATGATATATTACAGGTAGTCCTTGGGTTACAACCGCAATTGAGACTGGGATTGCCATCGCTAGGTGATGAGGTCGCAAAGCGTGATGTCACATGGCTGCATCATTTAGCAAAGGCAATCTAGGCAGTTCCAGTTGTTGTAACCCAAGATGCATGGGTCATTAAGCACAAAGTAGAGGGAGTCCCAGGTAAGAGAGCGAGGGTGCTGCAGGGAGCGGGGAGGCCATGGAAGGCCCGGCGCAGTTTGATGGGGGAGGGAGTGCAGTGTGAAGTCAGGAAGGTCAGGGAAGGAGGGTGCTAGTGGGTGATGCATCTGTGCAATCACAGGGAGGTCAGGGAAAGAGGGCACGGGGTGCGTGTGATTGCAGGAAGGCTGTAGAAAGAGGGTACAGGGTGTGTGCATGTATGTGTACATGTGTGTGATCGCAAGGAGGCTGGGAAAAGAGAGTGCAGGAGGTGTGCAATTGCAGGGAGGCCGTGGAAAAAGGGCGTGGAGTGGGTACGTGCATGTGTCTGAGCGCAGGGAGGCCAGGGAAAGAGGGTGTGGGGTGTGTGCAATGAAGGGGGAAAGGAGGGCACAGTGCATGTGTGTGAGTGAAGAAAGGTGTGGGGGGAAGACTTATCCAAGTGATTGCAACCTTCCTTGTCAGCTTCTCCATTGACTTTGCTTGCGGGAAGCCAGCAGGGAAGGTCACAACTAGTGATTACATGACTGCAGAATGCTGCAACCGGTTCTAAGTGTGAGCTGGTTGCTGAGTGCCCAAATCTTGTTCATGTGACTGCAGGGGCGTGCAACAGCCAGAACTTTGAGTACTGATTGTAAGTCCCTTCATTCAGCACCACCACAACTTCAAACAGTTGGTGAACAAACGGTCATAACTTGAGGACTACCTGTTATATATATGAATATGAATTTTCAGGTGGACTTTAACAAAATGGCAAATTAGTGAGATGAGCAAGTTTTAAGACTGGAAAGATAAAATATGAATTTGGAAATTCATCAGGCTGTACACTTCACCACAAAGAATATGTCTGACCAATCTAGCAGGCAAACTGCTAAAAAGATGCTATTGGAAAAAATAAGAAAGACTTACCACCAGAAACAGGGGCATCCATAAAAACAGCTCCCATTTTTTCAGCTTCTTTAGCTAGCTCTTTTGAAACTTCAGGATCAATAGTACTGGAATCTATTAATAAAGAACCTTTCTTCACTTTCCTGAAGCAAATGAAGACCAAAAACAAAAACAAAAAACAAAAAAACAAAAATAAAAACCAGAGGTATACTCACATTAGGTAAAATGCAGAGAATTAACATTACTTTTTTTGTGCTGCAACAATCTGCTCATAGAGTTTAGCTCCAGAAAAAGTCACAGCATTCAACCCAACTTTTCAAACTTTTCATGAGTGAGATTTTTGATGCTGATTTCATAAATTCTCAACAGTAAACTACCTGCAGCTTATAAAAACCATGCACTTAAGTTATTTTCTTGGTACTTTTAAAAACATAATTACAGGTAATCCCCAGGTTAAGAGCGCCCAGTTTACAGATGACCCATAGTTAAGAACGGAGCTTACTGTAGCAAAATATGAGTTACATACACAATGATTCAAGTTAAATACACAATGGTTTGAGTTAATTACATAATAGTACTCATACAGTATTATGCAATAAAACTGTTCTGGCTTACATACAAATCTGACCTAAGGACAGACCTTGGGAATGGAACTTGTTCTTAAACTGGGGACTACCTGTACTGGCAACTGTCTCTTTGAGCTCCATTAGGAAAGAATAAATGGGAGAGGGATATGTGAGAGAGACAGTGATGAAAATGTTGGAACTGGACAAGGATGAGTACTCAAATGCACAGCTTTATATGACTTTCGACCACTTTCTCTCTCATCCCAAACTTTCCCACAGAATTATTACAGTGCAGATAAAATTAAGGATGACTTCCATGCATGTCAGTCTGAACTCTCAGAGAAAATTAGGATATAAATGTAATAAGAAACATAACACCTCTAGATGTTGCTAACTACAATCCCAAGAATCCCAACCAGCATAGTCATTGATAAGGTATGCTGGGACCTTTAGGGCCTAAATATCTAGATTCAAGTTGCTCTAGAAAACTGTAGGGATATAAAAACTTTGCATTCAGAGCTTAACAATAATTAACATATATCTTCACTCCAATTGACTGCATGCAATGAAACATGCACCCTTCTTCATGCTGATAGCTGGATATAAGCATGGCAAAATATTATTTGCCTAGAGAATTTTTTGAACTGCTGCATGCATTTAGTAATATTCAATAAAAATACAAGCAGAAAATGAATGTAAAGAATAAAGGGGGAATCTTACTTGAGAATTCCATTTGTACCTATGTAAACTTCTATTGCATTAAGATTAGATGGAAGCATTGTAATAATCCTATCGGCTTTTTCTGCTACATCTGCTGGAGAATCAGTTACCTTTGAAAACAAAAACAAAAAGGTCAGGAAAAATGTTTTTGAAGAACAACTTCAAAAGAAAAACTAGTGATTCAGAAAAACAAGAGTTGTGAGATGGCAGAAAGAAAAAGAAAAAAGAACCCTGAAATACAGTTGGATGTTTATACTTTAGTTTCACACAAGCTACATGGCAAAACAACACTGACATAGATTGAGCTTCACCTGAAAAGCTTCCTAAGAGAAGAAAAATTCTCTGAAAGCTTGCCAAAAAAAGAGAATTGTACTCCAAAGACATGTTTTAGGACTACTAGTTTGGAAGTAATTTGTCATCAAGATTATGCTTCTTAATCCTTCATCAAAGAGCTATTAAAAGGCATTCTGACATAGACCCATACAGCGGTCTTTCATGTCATATGATTATACCACACGCATGGTTTGATTGTGCTGTGCTTTCAGATATAAGGTTTTCTATGGCATTTAAAGCAAGACATAAGGATATATACTATCTGCCAATCGAAGTCTTTAGAAGATAAGAGTGAGTAGAACTGGAGCAGACTTGTAGGTTTTTCACCATTAGCTCTCTTTAAAATAATATTGCCATATTTTACCTTATTGTGCCTTTCTAGTTGGCCATGTTTGCACTACTTCATCCCATATTTTTATCCCAATGCACACACAACATGTTTTCAAATAAGGCTCACTACTAACATCATTCATGTGGAATGAGTATTTAGTTTTCTAGCTTATGGGTGGGCAAACTCTGGCCCCCAAACTATTTTGAAATGGGAAGCTCACAGAAATGGCCATATAAAATAAACTGCCACTAAAATAAAATTAAAGCAGTTTAAGAAATAAATATTGCCCCCTACACACAAACCACACACCAGTGTTTCCTTTTATTATTTGATGAGTACTGTTGTAGCTGTAGCTTTCATACCATTCTACTGTAACAGGTGCTCATGTGGTGGCTGGCTCCTTATGGCTACAGAAAAAAATGGTGCCAGATAAGAGATCAAATCAAATTGACTATAGCAACTATCCCCTGGATATTCATCTTAGGAAGAGAAAGAGCAGAATGAGGATTGTCAAGGCACACAGAAGCTTCCAATTCCATTAGTGTCTCATTTCGCATTTGTCAATACACTGACTAAGAAATCGGAAAAAAAGGATAAATGGGTTCTTTGGAGGCCTCTTCCTATCATCATCACATCAATGACCCTCCTTACATTTGGTGATCCTATTCTAAATAAAGAGTGATTTTTTAAAAAACAGTAATATTGATCATGATAAAGGATTAAAGGAATTTCATAGCCATGCACTTCACATTTTAAAAAAAAATTAGCAGTAAAATGTTATTATACCTGTGTACCCAGCTCTTGAAATTCTTTACATGCTTCGGGAAATATATCACATGCGATAATGGGATAACCATGTTTTACAAGGTTTTTCGCCATTGGATTTCCCATGTTTCCCAAACCAATGAATCCAACCGGAGTTTTGGAAGCCATTGCCCTAGAAGACACTAATTGAAATGCAAAAGTTTCAGTGAAAAAGGTTTTGTAACCTTACATCAACTAAAATGTAAATTTCTTATATTTTTTTCTGCTCGTTGCATATCTTCACTTTTTAATTATGCTAAAAGCAGTTTATACTTCAGGACAGAAAAGAGAATTGACAAGAGCAGAAGCTTCCACTGTTCATTTTATTAAGTAATATATAAGAAAAATGAAGCAACAACTTAGTCATCAACACTGAATTTCAGTGCACTGCTCGAATGACTGCATGGTATCTCTAACCCATCTACATCAGATTCCCACATCAAAAATAATATAGCTACGCAATGACTTAAGACTCAGTTTTTAAAAAAGCTGTTTGAGACTATACTGGGGCACCGATGCAGCACACATCCCACATTTTGAAGCAGCTGCGTATTTTCCTAGGATTACTCAGAACGCCAAAGCACCATTTTTAATTGAATCCAAAGCATTCCACAGCTGTAATAGATAATGGACAGCAGATGATACTAAGAAGATGCAAGAATTAAATCTATTGGATGGCATCCAATCCAGTACAATCCCTTTGACAACAAAAATGGTTTCCTATCTTTTAAAAAAGAAAAATGTAAATTAAAAATATCTATAGCAGGCTACTTGCTATGTTTATTTTTGGTATAATATTGCACATTTCATAAAGATAAAAATCTCCTTTTGTTCCAGCTTGTTCTTGGCACACACAGATATGTCTATACAGTTTTCTCACAATAGTAAGGAAGTTGTTTGTCATTAGCTAGGATTTTTAAATTTTATTTTCCATTCAATCCTATAACTCTGGTATTTCATAGTGATCTCCCATAGAAGTACTATAAAATCATATCAAATATTTATTACAGCCATAAGACCAGATACAGTAAAATATCCGATAGTAGAACTGCTATATTTGTTTATTTATTAAATTTATCCCTGCCTAATGGGGGATTCTGGGCAGCTCACAATGCATTAAAACAATAAACAAACATACAATTACATAAAACCTAAAACCTGTACAAAACAATTACTAAAAAAGAAAGAATCCAGGAGGCCAATGGTTCAGAGCAGCAAACGCCAGGCATCTAAGGGGCTAGCCATCCCCACACTTGATACATCTATATATACAACAGGAAAACAATGAGTATAATAGGATTTAAAAATAAATAAGAACACATATAATAAAATAAAAAATACTATTATAGACAGTGATGAATAAGGCAGATCCAATCCTACTTAGCTTTTTGAGATCAGCCAAGTTTGACTAATTGCTGCTACCTAGTTTATAAACTGCAGTCAGTAAAATAGTGAGGAAACTGTACAGGAAAACAGCACATAACAACAACTTTATGGAAATCACAGCCACAAAACGTACTGGAGAAGGGAATTTTTTGGCCCCAGTTGTGCTACCTTTTTCATCTTCCCAAGCATGAATGGAACACTGCAATGATGGAATTGTATGGCTGAAATTTTGCCCTATTTTGTGCTTGAGATGGTTATAGCAAAGTAAGCACTTTTACACACTTATTTTAACCTTTATTTTGCTTTTGATTGTTTAATTATTATCATCAAAAACTGCACTGCAAAGTCACTGTTTTACAGCTGCAATTTTCAAAGCTGCAAAAATCACTTGGGGGAAACCCTCAGCGTATAAATATTATTTGCAGCATTCCTTTTAATTCTGAATAATTTTTAAAACAAAAACAATGATGAAAGGTAAGACAAAGGTTTAATCTGCTGCTGTTTTTTCATTTTAATTACGAATGAGTCTAAAGGATCACTGTTTGTTCTGGTTCCACTAAACTTCAGATTATTCATTGTGTTTGGCTACAAAGCAAGGAGCATATACTCAATTTTAAAAATTGATAAAAAAATTAATAAAGAAGATTCAGATTCCATACAAAGTTTCTTTCTTCCTTTTCCTGTCTGCAGATTCAGCCAGCTGCCAACAGCTGTAATTCAAGGCAGCAACAGCTGTCTACCAGAAACTGGGATGACTGCAAATTCTATCACATGGCCAATTTTTTGGATCTAAAGATAACTTTTAGGAAGCATAATGGAAAATCCTTTCCATAGTGTGATTTGATCCCTTTGCCTGAAAATTATCCTGTGATATTTAGCAGACTACTTAAGTAGATGTCCATGAGAAGAGACACTTGGATGTGAACAAAAAAAGAAACCTAACATAATGCTATCTGTACGTTGCTGTACAGTATATTATAGATGTCTTCCGTAGAAAAAGTAAATGAATTCAACTCCACCAAAATAAGAAACTTTCAGCAGCCAGGGTTTCCTTAAAAAGTTATAATTTAACCATGACCTATCATGCCAGGGGCAAGAAATGGCTGGACTATGAGTTGAGAGAAGTACACAGCATCTTTGGATCCAACTTGTAGTTCTTTGTGAGAAGACAAGACTTAGAAAAAAAAGCTTTTATTCTCACATGCCCATCCTCAACGATCAATTATTCCCTTTGGGGGAAAGCAACATTATGGAAAACACAGAAAAGGAGCCAAAAAAAAAAAGCATGCAAAAGATACTATAATGAAAAGGAAAAGGAAAAGCTACTTCTTATACTATTCACTACACTTCCCCACAGCTCTATATCCTCTCATACTATCCTAGCTTCCATCATACCCATATACAGGTAGTCCTTGCTTAACAACCATTCATTTAGTGACCAAAGTTACAATGGTGCTGAAAAAAGCTACTTACCACTGGTCCTTGCACTTATGACTGTCGCAGCGCCACCAGAGTCACGTGATCATGATCTGGGCACTTGGCAACCAGCTTGCACTTACAACGGTTGCAGTGTCCTGGGGTCACATGATTGCCATTTGCAACCTTCCCAGCCGGCTTCCGGAAGCAAAATCAATGGGGAAACCACATGATTCGCTTAATGACCTCCGCAAAAAAGTCTTAAAATTGGGTGCGGTCACATGATGCCTCACTTAATGACTGCCCCACTTAATGACAAAATTTCCAGTCCCCATGTGGTCATTAAGCGAGGACTGCCTGTACTGTCTCATGCATTGCCTTTCATTCTTTAAGTCTCTATTTTTGAAAATCTCATCAACTCCATCCATCCACAGCTTCCCTGGACTTCTTTTTGATCTACTGATAGATCAAAATAGATCCATTGATCTATTCACTCTTCCTTCAAATAATTGTTTTGCTATTTGATCCTTATTCATCTTCTATATGACCAAATGATCTCAATGTACTTCTTTTGTATTGGCCACTCGTTTTTATATTTTATGACCTGTACACACACGACCGTCGCAAACCATCGCGCCATCCCCCGTCTGTGGTCACATGATCGTGATTTGCAACCCTTTTTATGATGGTTGTTAAGAGACAGGGTACAGAATGAATGGGCCCTCAATGAATGTGACTCATTTTTGTATTCCCAAAAATGAATCACATTCATTGAGGGTCCATTCATTCTGTACCCTCTCTCTTCTTAAGTAACTCATTCACACCACATTCAATTTACTTTTATATTTCTTCTGACACACTTAATTCTCACTTGAAAAACAGGCAGAAGGATGCCCTGCTTATACAAAGGTATTTTTGCTTCTTTTAGCAAAGATTCATTCCTTAGAGCAGTCCATATTTGCCCTTCTTAAAATTTCTCTATCCAGTCTTCCACTTCCAATTTTAGTACAGGTAGTCCTTGCTTAATGACCATCCACTGAATGATGGTTCAAAGTTACGACAGCCTTGGAAAAAGTGCTTTACGCTTTACCTGTACATGCACTTATGACCGTTGCAAACCATTGCACCACCCCTATCTGTGGTCACATGATCACGATTTGTGCCTTTTTATGATGGCTGTTAAGCAAATCACCATGGTTGTTAAACGAATCACATGGTCATTAAGTGAATTCCAGCAAAAAGCATCCTTTGGGGAAGTTGGATTTGCTTAACAACCATGTGATTCACTTAATGACCACATTTGTTTAACCGCAGTGATTCGCTTAACAACCATCGTAAAAATGGTCATAAAATCTGGTCCGGTCATGTGGTGATTCGCTTAATGACCGCCCTGCTTAACAACCAATTTTCCAGTCCCTATTGTGGTCGTTAAGCAAGAATTACCTGTAAACATTCTATAAGATAAACTAATTCATTTACTAGCTCTAGCTTTTCCCCATTAATGAACCTGTTGACCATTCATTATACGTCTAGTACACAGGATCAGACTATTTTAATCCTTACCATTTTTCTTAGTTTCACACCTAACGCAATTATTTATTTTATTTGTTAATTCATGCTGTTTACCATTTAGTCCTCTTTTATTTCAATTCACAATATTCCAAATACCAATCCTCCATATGTTTATCACTAGATAGATCCACAGATATTGATCACTACAGCCTGTCATGACTTTGGTCAATCAAGGCTTTCATTTTTTTTTAAGAAAGAAAAAGTACAGAATACGTTACCAAGCAGTATTTTCCTGCTAACATTAAGCAAAGTAATGATCAGTTTGAGACATTTTAGCAAGTGCCACAAGTACAACTAAAATCCAGTTATACTCCATACATAATGGTCAGTTCCCAGACTGAAAAGGATTCAGGAGATGCTTCTATAAAAACCACCTGCAAGCTCCATTATCAGTGAAGTACCCCACCATTTTGCCAATTCACAGAAAGGCAGTAAAAAAGATCCACCCTAACATACTTTGGGATATATTAGCTGTAGATGGGATATAGTTCAATTGCCAAATTCTAGTTAACCCCATCCTTTTCTTCTTAAAAAATCCTGCTAAAGAGATTCATGTCTGGAAAAGAAATTACTTCGGTTTTAGGCAGAGATCAAGCACCTGACACCAAGCGTGCTCATGCTGTGCTATGGAAAGTAGGATCTCTAATGCAAAGACTACCTTTACAATTTACTGTTGCCTGCATCTCCAAAAAACTAGGAAGTAAGCTTAGCAGTTCTGTTGTCCATTTTTCTCCCTAAATACAGTTGCTGAACCAAAAGAGAAGGTTTTCATGACAAAGGGAAAGAATGGAAGATAAAAGTAAAACAAGTGACCTACCACCAACTATGACACTGCCTACTTTTGGTATGGACCTTGCACATCTTGCAGAGCTTCTATCTTGCCCATCTTGCATATGCCGCTCTTGCTATACCAGCTCTGAGAGAACACAATCTTAACTATTAAAAAGTCCCTATTTTTACAGTACACATACATGAAAAAAGAGTTAATTTGGTCCTGTTGGGCAACAATAATATCCTTTCCTAAATGGATACCAGAGAGCTTGGATAGTTTTTACTGAAAACACAAGAAACGTTTTTAAAAGATTAATAATACTAGGCACTGGAAGCAATAAAGTCTACTGAGGAGATAGTTACCATACTATTCACGCTTAGCAGGTTATCTAAATAAAAATTCTGTAGACCGGCACTGACGGAGCATTTAGGAAATATTCCTCAACAGACTGGCTGTGTTTGTTTTTTAGAAACTATGATTTTAAGCTTTTTCTCAACGTAGATATATCTGCTTCCATATAGTATGGTTAGTGCCAAATGAAAAAGACTTCACTGTGATAAATTAGGCCACTGAAATGAAAACTGCTGTATGTAAAGCTAGAGTGCTTTGAGGATTATAGAGGTTGCTAGTTCAGTCCTGACACTGAAAATAAATATCATGGCTGAACCCATGCTCAGAGGTACCCTGTTCATTAGCTACCTCTAAGTATGGTATCTAAGACACTATTAATGTAGTAGATCTTAGAGTTGTAGGGTGAGTGGGGAAACTGAGTAGATCCTTTAAGTCTGCAGTCTGGTCCCAATCAAGATATGTGTATGTATAAAAAGGCTGCATGAGCAGGTACACTTGTACCAATTTACCCAACAGATGTTTTGCATTATTAAAGCCAGCAGCAACTACATGGTGCACCATCTCAGGCGGTGCATGCAGTTTCCAGAGTCTGGTGTTCTAGTAACAGAAAATACATATGCAACAGCTTTCTCATTTTAAAAAAAATCCAGTAACAGATTAAAAAGATGAACCATCTTTTAAAATAAATATATAAACATGAATTGCTGTCAAAAGAAAAAAAATCAATCTTAGTAAAACAGAAAGACAATGTGCTTAGTAACAATTATATATTAAATAGAATAAGAATAATTTTCAATTATTTTAAAACAAGAAAATTGATTATTTTATTGCCATATATAGCAATAATATATTATGGTAATGACTTTTATTTTGAGGGCCTGATAAATAGAAAGGTAGAATATAATTGATGACTACAGGATTATTTAACAATAGAAAAAAAGTACCAAAGTACTCAGCAAAGAACAGAAATTTACTGCACCAGTGAGGTCTGCAAAAAAATGTTACAGTAAAGAGCAATATTTTTTAGGATCTTAGCACTCTATCCCTTTCGTTTATTCAGAAAGAAGTCTGATGTGCTTAGTGGGGCCAATTTATTAACAACTATATTTAGGATTGCACTATCTGGAGCCGTAAAAGGTATGAGTACCTTAAGGCAAATAAGAGATCAGAATTTACCTTACGCAATCTAATAATTACATAGTTTTTTTTCCTCTCAGCAGTATGTTGTGCTAAACTATGCTATATGCTAGTTCAACAAAGACATTGATGTATCTGGACAATTAAAATAAAAAATTAGAAAACTCACTTATCTAGCAGTTTTGCAGTGCTTCATGTAGATTTCCAGATAACCCTTACGAAAACCTGTAAATATTATTCCCATTCTTCTCTGTTTTTGAAAGTTATAGAAGAGATATGCCTTACCCAAAGCAGCATGTGATTCTGTATCACAGGTGACATTTGAATCAAGGACACAGTCTCTTTTTCACTCTACAAAAGTTCTATGGAAAATAAATTTACTTCATTGTAAGCAAATAAAGCCAATTGCTTTACTTTTAAAAGACTTAAAAATCATTTGGAGTACAACATTAATAACCATCAGGTTTTGAAAAGTAATAGCATTTCTAATAGCATAGAAGAGGTTAATTTATACAGGGCTAAATTTTGCTGATTAAAGAGTGGTTGAAATTTAAAATGTATAAAGCTTCATAACCAAGAGAATGTTTGATTACTGTATTATATAGCGAGAATAAATTAAAGACAGCTATGTAGGATGGAAAGTATTTTTTAGTGTTTTATATTGATATTACTGTAATAGTCACCCAATAGTCACGCCATAAATAGAACATTCAATTACAATTGTCCCTTTAATGATAGACAAAAGATGAAGTCTATATCTCCCTTTGAGAGAATGCCTCACTGAACTCAATGGGACTGACTCTGCACGGGCAAGTTAGGATTCTACTATAAAGTTGTAGTCATTAGTATGTTCTTTTAAACACACACACACACACACACAAATCTTGACTAAGCAAATATAGAATTGTGTTCCAGGGTGTTGTACTTTTAAACTCACTACGAACTTACCGTGGAGCAAGAACC